CAGCGAGGAGGGGCAAGGTGCGGGGCAGCGAGGAGGGGCAAGGTGCGGGCAGCGAGGAGGGTGTAGCCTCTCTCTGGCTGAGCATGGGCAGCACGCGGCCGCAGCTGGCATCATGCAGCTTGGGAGAGCTCGGGACTGACGCTCTTCCATTGCAGACTCGCTCGTCTCGATCCAGCAACTGCTCTCGCACTCTGCCTCGCTGCAGCTCTCCTCCGCCTCGCTCCTCCTCTCCTCTCTCGCGCCGCTCATCTCCGATGCCGATCCGGGCGTGCGCAGCACGTTGCATGCGTTGCATCGCTTCTATCTGCTCTCGCTGCCCTGCGCCATTCTCGCGCCTCATCTGCCCACCTTGCTCCTCTACACCACCTCGGGCATGTCGCACATCTACCCCGACGTGCGTCTCGATGCGCTGCGCACGCTCGACGTGCTGCTCGCCGCGGCGCCGCGTGCGGTGGCGCACGGATGGGACGCGCACGACACGGGCGCGGCGCGCGTCATGGCCGGCTATCGCGACTTGCTCGGCCTGGCGCAAAGCGCAAACAGCACCGTGGCGAGCGATCTCTCTGCCGCGGCAAAAGTCAGACTGCTCTCGTCGCTGCGCAGCTTCGTCGAGGCTGCCGCGTCGAGTGCGCGCAGCGACGAGGCGCCGAAAGAAGACGAGGCAGCGCTGCGATGTCCCACTTGGTTCTTCCGTCCCGCCTTCAACTCTGCAAGCGTCTACGATGCCTTTGCCTCGGCGTTCACGCGCGCTTCAACACCCACCCTGCAGCTGGGTCAAGTGCCTGCCTTGCTTGATGCCACACTCGCCAAGCCGGCAGGCGAGGGAGCATGGAGCAACTCGGACATGCAGAGCAGCTTGAGTGCGCTGCAGAGCAGTCTCGCGCCTGCTGCCTCGGCCTCTTCCTCGAGCTCGCGCGCCTCGTCGAAGCAGACGTATGCATCGCTCTTCTCCTCTCTCGCTCCTCTGCTCCTTTCCAGCTTCCTCGACTCGGCGCCCGAGGCATTCAGTCCCTCTCGCGACATTGCAGCCTCTTCCTCGGGGCGCACCGCCGCCATTCCTCCCCTGCCGCTCGCGGCCGAGCTCTGCTGCGTCATCGTCGAGCTCACGCTGGTGCTCTGGCGCGCCATGGGGCGATGCTCGCAGTCGGGCACTGGCTCTGGCGTCGAAGAGGAGCAAGCATGGCGGCACCTCGACTCGCTCCTGAGCAAAATCGACGGCTACTTTCCTTTCTCTGCCTTTTCCTCCTCCTCCTCTTCTGCCACCAACGCCGGCACCTCTGCGCCTCATCCGGCACTCGCGGCCTCCGACCGTCGGTACGCCGAACTCTCAGCTCTGCACGCTCTGCACGCACCTCGCGCCGCGGGCCGGAGCAGCAAGTCTCTGCGTGGGCAGCAGGCGCGCTTGGAGCAGGTGCAGAGGCACATGCGCGCCTTGCTCGTCGATGCCTCGAGCGCCAGGTTCGACTGGAGTGCGCCCCTCGACTCGACGAGCGCTCCTCCGCCCCCTCCGGCCGCGACGGGCAGCGCCGTCGCCTTGGAGGCCGCGGCGCTCGTGGATCTCATGCCGAGCCTCTGGCTGCTCCTCTCGCAGCCACGTGCCGAGTGCGGCGAGGCAGAGGCAGAGCAGAGTCCGCAAGCAGTGTACGCCGACCTCCTCGAGCTCTGGCGCACCTCTCGCGGTGAGACGAAGCGCCTAACGACGCACTTGCTCGCGTTTCTCAGCTTCGTGAGTGCCGTCCCCTCTCCCCTTCGCGTTCCCCTCCTCCCACCTCGCTAACGTATGCCCTTTCGCGCAGGCACACACATTCCCAAGCTACACCTCTGTCTTCGTGCCTCGGCCCACGGCCCTGCGGCGCTGGATCGGCATGCTGCCGCGCCATCTGTGGGAGCTGGGCTCCAAGTCGCCCGATGCGTCGTTCGTCGTGCTTGAAGTGCTGCGCCTGTACGCCGTGCGCTGCTCCAGCGATGAGCTCGCTTCGGTGAGTTGCTGTCTCACCACACTCTGCTGCTTCAGCATTTCCACACATCAGCTTATCCCATGCTCGCCCTACTTTCTCCTCCCGCAAAGAGCAGACAGCAGCAAAGCCTCAAAGGGCCCTTATATCCGCCTCCCTGCCGACGTCCAACGACGTGCTCAAGGCTTGCTGGGCTTCCTTGAGCCGTTGGAGGAGGGCCTGAGGCGCGCTGCTTCGGCCGTCGGTGCCGTTGCAGCGCAGTAGATCCCTCCTCCTTCCTGCTGACCCTGCGGCACCGTCTGTGCCTCTCATTGCCTCACTCTCGTGGCCCCCGTCATCTGTACTATTCCACAATGTCATTGCTCGCTCACCACGGCACGTCTTCCAGTTCCTCCTCATCAAGCAGCGCCGCAAAGCCATTGCTCTCCTCCTTTGCCTCGCCCTCCTTGCCTTGCAGCGCAGGTGTGCCATCCTCGGCCTTCATGCGTCTCCACCAGCCACTGCCTCGCGCCTCGACGCGCGTCGTGCGTCCTTTCCTCGCCTCCTCCTTCTCGCGCACTTGCCGCAGTGCGTCCTCGAGCAGCGCCTCGTCGTACTCTCTCAGGCGCGCACAGAAGAGCCCATACAGCTCCGCGGGCGCGGCCTCGTCGTCTTCGCACGCGGCGTCGGCGTCGGCGTCGCAGACGGGAGCGCAAGACGAGGGCGCGCGCTTGAAGCCCGAGACGTGCGTCGGGCGCGACTTCATAAAGTCCAGCACTGCGCCCAGCTCGTGTCGCGAGACGAGGTTCTGCGTGAATGCCACGCATTCTGCGCATGTGGCGGGGAGGGGGGGGAGCAGAAGCAGTCTCAGCTTTTGGCCAGGCCAAGACAAGAGAGAGGGAGAAACGGAGAGGCGCTTCCGCCAACGCACCTGAGGTGTTGACTACGCAATGCCACCATCCAGTCGGCACATAGACCGTCTCGCCCTCCTCGCATCTGCCCTCCAGCAACATGCCATCGCCCCTCTCTCCATGTCGTCGCCTGCACTCCTCCAAGTATCCCTCTGCCCATTCCGCAAGCGACAGCGGCGCCGTGACTTCGCCTTCGTCGTGCGAGACGAACACGCCGGGAGGCGTGACGTGCGGCGGCAGGAAGAGCCAGTGCTTCGAGCCCGAGAGAATCGTGTTCCACGCTGAGGTGGCATTTGGGTCTTTGTGCCACTGCCGCAGAGGGTCAGCCAGAGAAGTGCGGGCGGGAAAGAGGAGAGAACTCACGCCGCTTCCGCTGCGTTCAGGACCAGCAATGACCCAGCGATAGTCCGGCCTTCTCTCGCCCAGCAGGCCGAAGAGATCATGATCCCACTCGCCTCCTCCTTCCTGTGCCTTTCCCTTCTCATTCCGACCGAGCAAGGCCGGCACGTTCCAGTTGTCACCCAGCCGCTGCGGCAGCTGCGCATCGAAGAGATACAGCGGCGACTCGTCGGGCACGACGCCGTCTGCGTACGGCGGACGCATGGAAGTGGCGTATGCGAGGTAGGTCTCGGGCGTACATCGCATCGCCTCTGCCTGGATCTCCGCCTCTCCCGCCTCGTCACACAGGCGCTTCAGATCCCAGCCGCGCGCCGCGAAGCTCGAGGCGCCGAGGATGCAGGGCGTGCGCCCGGCGTATGTGCCTTCGAAGAGCTCGTGGGAGGAGGCCGCGAGACGAGGCAAGGTGCACGGCACGGCGACGTCGATGTGCAGATGCGAGAGTCGCCATGGCGCGTAGAGGAGGTCGGAGCAGAGGCCGTCTGCGCGCGGCGGAGCAGGCAGGAGCGTTGAGGAGGACGAAGGCGCGTGGCCTCGGCTTGCGAGTGCCGCATACGTGCCCCTCCAGCTGCCGTGCCACACACGCACTCTGCCTGCACTGCGCGCCAGACAGCGTTCCCGCCAGCTGCCGGCGAGCGCGGCAAAGGCATGCAGGAAGCGGCTGGCGGCGCACATGCGTGCTGCATCGGCGTCGGCGAGGAGCGCGAGGAGATGCAGCAGCAGCTCGTCGGGCAGCACGGCGAGGGTGCCGAGCGAGGCGCGCCGCTGCGCGAAGGCGGCGTGCGGCGCGAGGAGGGCATTGAGAGAGGGCCGCACGCCCGTGGGGTGCGGCGGCAGAGCGGTGCGCTCGTGCCGCCGCGGGCGCTTGGGCGCGCGTGAGGCAGTGCCTATGGGTGCGGGCCGCGTGGACGTGGGCATTGCGGCGAGGAGAGTGGGATGCGGGAGGTGGATGGAGGCGAGAAGGCCGGCCACCCTTTCGAGGCGCCTCGCGCGCGCGCGCGGCTGTCCGGCAAAAGATGCAGCGTGGGGGGTTTCGTCTAACGGTACATGATGCAACGTCGGACCCGCCAGGTTCGTGAGTTTATGCACAAACTCTGGCTGGGCTCATCTCCAGGCCCCCGTGTTGTGGGCCAGCTCATGCATGCCGCCTGCCCGGATGTTCAGGGCACCGAGCACATCGCGCCCATACACGCGGCCGCAGCACGGGCAGTACTTGATGTCGCGGAGACTGTGGCCATGCGTCAGCGGC